GGATCACGCTTCTGCCTAATGTGGAAAAGATATTCACGTGAATCCTTCTCCGAAGACTGAAGAATGCAACTGACCATTCGCTTCGATCAAATCAAACAGGGTATCGAACTGAACTCTCATATATAGATAACATCGTCGTGCTAAAGAAAATAACAAAACATGGAAGCAGCGTCCAACTACCTGGCATGCATAGTTTCTTGGCTTCCGAGCAACCTTCGATTCGGTATACCGCCAGTCCATGTAGCGCATAATACGTTACTATGGAGTCCAAAGGGACTGTAGGCCAAAGGGACATACGTCGGTAGGCCAAAGGGACTGCACAAATATATAAAACGCACCATCAGAGAGGACGGGTCCTTATTTTAACGGATGTGCTTTCACCTGTATAATTTAACCTGGTGGTGAAATGTGATGCTGGGGATCGTCGTCCTCAATAACAGCGAGGGTTCAATTATTAGACGACGACTCAACCGAAAGTATGAAGGAGTATTCATAACAAACCTCAATCACGCTGAATAATTGTAATACTCAGCGACTCCGGTAATGGCTTGCAGACACCAACTCAAGAAGTGTGCAAGGTGGACTCAACAGTAGGCCTAGAATTTAACTCCACTAAAACGAAGATCTTGCGAACACTTGACTCGAATAATGACCCAGTGGAATAGAACGACTATCGAGGAGGTCGAAAACGTCAATTACCTCGGCTCTGAACTGTCAAGAAACGGAAAATGCGATATGGAACCGAGCGACGCACAGGGCTGTCGGCAACTTTCTAAAGCGTGGCAAGACTGATCTATCCAGACAACAAAGATCACTATGCCGAAAGCCGCCAACTTCTCAATCGTAGTGTACAGAATTGAAATATCAGCCCCTTTAAAGCGCCATGAAAAGATGTTGGGCATTTTTCAGTAGCGCTGTCTGCGGAACATTCTGAAAGTGCGACGGTTCGATCGAATAAAAAAAGGAAAGATCTTGGAGACGACCGGCCCGGTATGAAAATTCTGTTTGAAGAAATCAGGGACCGGCGTCTGTCGTGGTTTGACAGAACCACGTGGAGAGAGAATGGAGACTTATCCAAAACCACTCTCCTCTTGGAAGCAAAAATTGCAGCAGGCACGTCGGAAGCCGACGTCGCATCCTAAAGCAGCTGCTAGAAACGAACCTGTTTGAGACAAAGAAATATGACTTTGCCACAGAAACGAACATCGCCTGAATCATTCTGAGAAGTCAAAGTGTCTGACATCATTAGTTTAGGTACCCAGTCCTTAATGCTGTTACCTCAGATAACGAAAATAAAACAACTTTGACAATGAGAGTATACAATAAATTCCCTTTTTCTGCGTACGACAAAGCGAAAAACTCGAAGACAGGGATAAAATAATGACATGACTTAGAATTAAATTCAGATGAGGAAATCATAAATAAACACTCGAAACGAGATTTAAAAACATTCAGTATGTGCTCGCACGCCTGAAAATAGCTCAAACAGGTCGTGAAAGTCGCGGCCATGAGATCTGAATGGAACAGAATTTGAGCAACTTCTCACAAAAAGAAATGTTGCAATTTTTGGGATGCCGGCTTCTGGCATACCATAATTTGAAACAACGTTCTTTTCATGTAGCCACGGCGCTAATTTCACTCATGATGAAATCATTCCGGATTGACATATATGCTTTTGAAAGCAACTTTTGTGATTAGGCATCTGAATACCGGAACAAATAATTTACGGTGTCCTTAACGCTTACTGATACCATATACCTATCTCGGAAAGATAAAACACGAGTAGATCATCGAAGATTTGAACCAATGTACAGGCTACGAGTTCAGCGCTTAACCGCTTAACTTTGACATGGCCTCTTTTCGCTCCATCTGTGAGTTCTTCACTGCGTTCGAGAAAAGACTTCTATGTCAAAAGTGACAGTGAATACACCTCGGTTAGAAACATAACGACTGAACCGACTTGACCCAACTTACATGAGCACCCACAGACACGGAACAAACGCGTTCAGTGGAAACAGCGAAACAGTGTTTGCTGCACTGACGTACGAACACAGGGGATTCACGGAATAAAACTATCTTTCAAACTCATTCAAAAAGTTAACATGTTCACAAGCAAATATTATTCTGTAAAGAGCATTGAAGAGTCCTTAAATTACATGTTAGCATAGGCGTATGCCTTAAATTCGCTGTCAGTGGAATGAGCCCAAACGATTTCGCCGAACGGGCGAAACATTTACATGCGAGTTGAAGATCACTTAACTCTATTATGGGACATTCCGGAAATCCCGCTTTCGAGTCTGATACGCCAAACCAGAACTATTCAACGCATAAAACGGCTGAAAGACGGAATGACAGTATGTTAAATCGTTTTACCTAGGGTTGTTCAGTTGCCGTAGACGCAAAATGATGGACAATTCAAAACTTGGAAACACGACAATGAGTCAGTCCTGCTAGCGTTGACGAAATCTTTGCCTAGTACTAATCTGAGCCACTGTTTCTAACGATGAGATACCATAAATCTGAGCTAACGTAAGGCTTAAGATTTGTTAGTATTAGATAGCAATGGTCATGAGTGAAACAACAGATAAAAAATAGGGTAATAAACGATGGTAAACAGAAAGATAGAACCCACACTGGGCTTTATCAGACGATCATCCTGCAATAATAAACCATGCCTCGAAACCTTACATCGGGATATTACCATAACCGTTTAATTAACGGATATTCATTATAGTCTATGATGCTGACTGTATTAACTACGAAATCAACAGATGAAATTTCTCGGCTATCTAGAATCTTTTTCATCCATTTTTCTCATTTTGCCCTTCAGCGTTGCACTATTACCCTATCCAATCTCTCCAGTTCAACTTTTAAATAACTAGCACCTAATCTTTACTGCTCTGCCTTGGCATACACCTACTGTCACGCCTATAAAGTAACACATTTTCAGGATTACGAAAACTGGGTTTTTTATATATCTGACATTTAGTGGCGTTTATTACATTCTATATTGTATTCGTTCTGGATACAAAAGGTGAACAAGCACTGACATTAAGGCACAGTGAAAAAAAAAACGTTCGCAACTAAATATTGAAACATCCCTGACGTACCGACAGCGTCGTCTGCAACAGGCAAAAAATGAAATCTATCAGCTCCTGAGGCAGTTCCTCAATAAAGCAGACAGTACTCTCCAGAAAACGCATTTTGACTGCCAGATAGATCCAAGGTGTTGCGGTATCATCATCACTAAAAATGATCCACAATATTGCATAAGAAGGCCACCACAGTTCCTCCAATACAGTTCGAACAAATTAAGAAATGTGCG